GTTAAACTTTATCAGTTATTTTGGTTGTGGGATATCAAAGAGAAGCATAAACGTCACCTAATGGCTTGATTGCTATTCATGAGAGTTATCCTTTATAGGAGGTAGAGTTGCATGGTGTTGTATATATTTATGACTTTGTTATTCTTTTTATTAGGAGATCAACTATGGTTGAAAGAGATTTGTATGGATACCAAGTTGAGAAATGGTATGCATCATAAAAATATGTTTATCCTTCTGCTTATGGGAGCTAAGATACGGGTTTAATGTTATTTTAGAGTGTCTACAAGGGGGATTCTGGAAGATATTATCATTTGAATTGGTAAACTGTGTGAAAAATCTGACTTCCTCCAATATGCATGGGCATGGTGATATCCATTTAGAGACTGAATAGAATAAAAAGGCAGAGGAATGTTGAACACATTCTCTTCCTGAGCAAATTGAGCTAGAACATTGACATTTTTCTGCCTTCTGTGCTCCGATTCTGAGGTCTTCAGACTTTGTCTGGAATTTGTACTGTCAGATCTCCAGTTCCCAGATTTTTAATTGCCTGAGTCACTGACTTGAAAATTGCACTAGATTGGGCTTATGAACCTCCACTATCATGTGAAGGAATATCTTAGGATGAATTATATACTCTCCATCTGTCTTCTTTTTTCTCTCTCTCTCCTTCTTTCCAAAAAGATGCATAGATACATACAGATGTAGAAATGAATAAATAAATAAATAAAAATAAAGAATGAACAAAAGGAAGGAAGGAAGAACAGAAAGAAGGAAGAAAGGGAGGGAGGGAGAATCTGTTTCTTTGGAGAACCCTGACTAATACCATTATACAATTACTCACTCATTTATTTAGTGAACTTTTTTTCTCCTCTGAACATGATAGGGACATACTATAAAGCAAGTGTTGACTATTACCCTCAAATAAGTATCATACAGAACATAACTTTGCAGAATTGGGAAATGTCATATTATAGCAACTAGAACATACTATATACAAATTTTGAGAATGATCATTCAGATATTGATCCATTGACTATAATTTTGTCATTGATTAACACCTCCCCATAATTTTAATAAAATGGAGCCATAGCAATTTGATTGGCTATCATTGCTATCAATCTTCTTTCCAAAGGAAAAGCTCATAAAAGAGTTCACAAGCCAGGCATGGTGGCATCTGCCTTCTAATCCCATTTCAGAAGGCCAAGGCAGAAGGATCACAAGTTCAAAGCCAGCCTCAGCAACTTAGAGAGACCCTAAGCAACTTAGCAAGACCCTGTTTAAAAAATAAAACATAAAAAGAGCTGGAGATGTAGTTCAGTTGTTAAGTGCCTCTGAGTTCAATCCCTCGTACAAAAAGAGGAAAAGAAAACAAACAAACAAAAAGGAAAAGCTTAAAATTCTTCACCCTTGAAACAGATGCTCATTCGAATCTCTCATTCACCTGCTCAAATCAGGGAAGAACCTAAGAATAATTGCAAAGTGCTGATTTAGAGAATATAGGCTGTTGGAAACTACATTTGGATAAGCCCTTAATATATGTTAATATTATAATTTTTTTCTTCACTGATTATTTAAAACAATGATTCTCTACGTGTCTAAATGTAGTCCCACATAATAGCATTAAGGTTACTGAATTGGACAGTGTGTTGATGAAGTCAAATATTCTGTTTGCATAGATCTTTACATACAATTCAAAATAGAGTTGGATGTTAAGGTTTGTAAACAAGTCAGGATGGCACCTGGCAAATGTTAGAGTCTGTAAACAAGTCTGGATGGCGCCTAGCATATTGCCAGAGGGAGTGGTTTGTGAAGTAAAGCCAGCGAGCCATTAAGTGTGGAGATTCCTTATTGGTTGACTGATGTATCTAGTTTATGCTAATTAAGATAAGCTGTATGGAATGTATAAATATCGCTCCTGTCCTACAATAAACGGCTCCTACTCCTTCTGTATCAATCTACACAAGTTGTTCATCACCCCTCGGCTATTTTGCAGCAGCCGGACAGCGGCAGTGGAGACTCAAATTTTTTGAGTTTTAAAATAGTCCCTCAACACCTCCCATAAGCTTATACCAGATTGGTTTGGACATTTGCCTAATACATACATGCATTAAAATCCTGATATAACTAGTCCACAACCTAGAATTTTAAAAAATGACAATTTTGATTGTGGTTTGCTTGTTTTTACTTATCTCTTAAATGTGTTTTATTTCCCAGCATAATTTTTTTTCAATAATTTCCTAAACAGAAAAATGTTTTGTAAGATGATGAGAAAATTATGTACACAGAGTATAAATACAGAGAGGAACTATAAATTCTATTAAATATCCAAAGTAAGAAATGAATAGACAAACATAATAAAGCATTTTTTTCTTATGTTATCAGCATATATTTGAGGTGATTTTAATCCACTATCAGCAGTGTTCCACTGTGTGAACTTTGTTTAATGATATCATACTTTATATCTAAATAGCCATTAAATACATACATTCATTTCCATAATTTATTTTAAGACAAAAATCCAAATATTGAAAATCTTGTCAAGAATAAGGTCAACGCAAAAATATATATTTTACTTCATTCCAAGCCTCTTATTGAAATGACAAAAATGGTGTATGGAAAGGAATAAATCTATAATCAAAGTGAAAATCATATACTAGCAAAGTTTTAGGGATTTTAGTGGATTTCTGGAAGGTCTAAAGAAGTGGGATTATATTGAAGGACAAATAGAGAAGAGCAATCTATAGACCTCACTTATATAAGTCCAAAAAGGAAATATAACCCCTATTGTTTATTCCATACTCTCCAAAACTACAGGAAAACTTGACATGCTACATACCTGTCCATGGATTCATAGTATATTATTCACCCTCCCATCCAAAGAAATAGAAATTATAGTAATGGAACTTCCTAGTAGCAGAAGAAACTATTGATTGTATTATCAATTTTGTTTTTGTGTTATAACAATGAATGGATAGGGAAAAACTCAATGTAATTGACAGGAAACCATTACTACTATGGGATAAAAATAAATAAAATAAATAATAAATAAACAATAAAAAATAAACAATTCACACCTGTGCATTACATGGATCTCCAGGAAAAAAGAGTAATAAAAACAACTGTAATCCATTCAGCCCATTTCCTAGGGTCTGGGGGTATCTCTAAGTGAAAAAAAACAAACAAAACAGGAAAAAGATGAAGACAAATTTTTTGAGGTGGACCTCCAGAAATACAGAATAATGGTATTTAATGTAAATACTTCTATGTTTTGAGCTCTTTAAATCAACATAAAACGAAAAGAAAAACATTCCCCTGTAATTTTGTCATAATCTATTCTAATACTCAATCTTAGTGATGAAAAAAAATACTTCATTTTAAGTGTATGAAGCTTTCTGTGTTACACAAACTGAGGGTAAGTTGACTTGCATGAGCCATTCCAGGCCCAGAAATTTCCCTATAGTCATTTTAAGATTTAGAAAGTGTGAAACATTTTCCCTACATTTTATGTATGTATGCCTTAGGTTCATTTTGATTTATAAATAGTTAACAAATACTTATTTAGAGCTTGTTGTGAGTAAGTCACTGTGTTATGCATGTGAGAAATCAAAGACGAGTATGACTTCTCAATTGTAATCTAAAAGGAGAGTTTATACACAAAATAAGTATTGCCCTGGGTGGAGTTTGGTCTATGAAGAATAAATAAACAGCTACATATTTCAAATGAGTGAAAAATCTCATTTTCTTTCAGGTAATCTGGAAATACATGATGGAAGCTTCACACTGGAGAAAGACCTTGAAAGTTGTAATTTCCTCGGTCTCCATATTCTTTACATAAAATGAGTGATCCATCTACAGGTTTATCTTTGCTATCTATCTCCCAACACTAACATTCCGAACACATTTTTACTGATACCACTGAATCCCTGATCTTAGAGTCTATTCACCAGCATGGTTGCAAAACTCTGATTTCTCACCACTTTCATCCTGCTCATATCCTCTTCCCTCTGGAACATCATTGCCAATTGATTTTTCATATTTAGGTCCCAAATTAAGCCATATCCTTTCAATACATTGTCATTGCCTCAAAATATATCTGTGCATAAGTATATGTATCTAGATCTACATGAGTGTATTTGTTCATAAGTATTTCTTTATTATAGAATATATGTATATATAAATATAAATACACACACTTACACTTATTCCTCACCCTACATGTGCTGGTGGTGGTATTTTTTAGGATCTTATCAATAAAAATTTGATTTATCTCTTCAATCTTTTCCTTCACAATTCTTCTAATGAAAACTGCATTATAGCCAAAATAAGTTCCTTAAAGATTTCTGGACATAGTTCCCTTCCAGGTGAATACTCTTGCTCCTGTAAATTTGTCAACACAGAGTCCCTCTTTCTCCAACTTCCCTCTTCCTCATTACAATTGCAGTGACAGGATTTTTCCAATGTCTTCATTATATTCTAAATTCTATTCATTTCCCTTTGAGATGTGTGAATTGAATTGCCCAAAGAATTAAAAGACATTAATTCCCCCAAAAAGTGAAATGGAAGATTAGTTGATGACTGGCAGATTTCCTGGGATTTTTCTTTTACTTCCTCAATTGCAGATCTACTACCACTATGGAGAAAATGTGATGTGGGTCCCAGAGTACATAACAGTATTATCTGTATAAAGTTTCCTCTTCAAGTTATTTTGAGAGGAACTACAATATTTTTCTATTCTGTATACTTACAATGCAATATCATAAAACCTACAAAATTTTTCAGTTGTTTCATGCTTCATTTATTCTAGTATGACATGAACATGTTTAAAATTCCTTACATGTTTAGGAACAATATATACAAATATTTTAAGAAATTATTCAGTCCGAAAACCTTATTAATTGACATTACAGAATATTCTAATCACGAAAAAATTCCAATATTATCAAAATACCCCCCATTTTGTGAATATAGTAATAAAAGGAAAACAGATACAAATATGACATCTAAACATTTCTTTTCAAAATTTTTGTTAGTGCATCCATGACCTGCTTGTTTCTCAGGCTGTATATAATGGGGTTTAACACAGGAATAATGACAGTGTAAAATAGGGAGAATATCATTTCTTGATCACTTTCTTGTGAAGATGCAGGATGCACATACATGAAGAGAAGGGGGCCATAGTATAAACACACAGAAAAGAGATGGGCTCCACAGGTGGAGAAGGCTTTTCTTACACCCTTTTCAGACTTCTTTTTTAAAATTGTAAAGAGCACTAGGGTATAAGAAACAAGAATAGTTCCAATGGTGAATACTTGTATTGAACCAGAGAAAATAAATATTAATAGATAATTAATAGAAGGATCAGTACAGGAAATCTTTAATAATGGTATAACATCACAGAAAACATGATGTATTACGTTGGAATTACAGAAGATCAATCTGAATAAGAAAACTTCATGAATTAAGGCATGAAGAAAGCCACCTATGTATGACAAAACCAGTAGCCAGAAGCATAGTCTGTTGGTCATAATCACTGGATACAGTAAAGGCTGGCAGATAGCTACATAGCGGTCATAAGCCATTGCTGCCAGGAGAAAGCATTCTGTGGTTATGCTGATTCCAAAGGAAAAAAACTGTATCTTGCATTCAGTGAGAGAGATCATCTTGCTCTTGATTAACAAATTGACCAGCATATTTGGGGTCACTGTTGAAGACAGCCATGTATCCAGAATGGCTAAATTCCCAAGAAAAAAATACATAGGGATATGAAGATGAGGAACTTTCCAGATCAGAGAAATCAGACCAAGGTTTCCCACAAGGGTCATAAGGTATATCATCAAGAACACCAGGAACAGGGGGAGTTTCCACTGTGGTTGCTGTGTAAGTCCCGTGAAGATAAACTCTGTCAGCAAAGTTGCATTTGCCTCTTTCATGTTATCACTGGATGTCACTTGAAATGAAATTCATTGAATGTAAAAAAGAAAAAAAAATAATCTCTGTTGTTTTTAATGGGAATACTGCAGGAGAAGAGTTGAGAGAAAAATCATACAGGATCATTTGAAGGCTATCCTTTGCTATGTGGAAGAAAAGCACCAGGAGAAATTAAAAATGGTAAAAGTTAATTAATTTAATTCAATAAATGTACCACAGTAACACATTTAGGGAAGATGAGAGGTTTTCTGAACTTGTGATAAATTTATTGGGACCTATTGATTATGGATGGAAATTCTGTTTCATGATCATGGTTCAGAATCTAGAGGAAATCTATTTGAATGGACTGGATTACAAACTAAATTAAATGCCATCTCAAGGAATTTGAACTTTATTCTTCAGTCAACAGGTTTGTACTAAGATGCTTTAAGATTTGAAATGATATGATCAAAAAATTTTAATTAAATATTTGGTAGTATACAAAATGGTCTGGAGAGGGAACACTGGAATTAGGGATAATAATCAGGAAACTGTTAGCATTGGCCAGAGGTTTCCCAAATTAGATTCACATCCCAATGTTTTAGGGGAGCTTTTAGCACAAAAAGAGATTATGAGATACTACAGAAGAAACAGAATCAGGTTTGAGAATAAGTTAAGAATCTGTGCCTTAAAAATTTTCCTCTGATGATGCAAACCTAAATGTATTGTCTAGTCCACATATGATATGACTATGTGGTAGTTAAAAATATGAAGATAAAGGTTTAAATGAATTCAGAATTTATAGTCAGTAAGACTCAGTTATGAATTAGGCATTAAATAGCAGAGAGCAGTGAATTGGTGACTGAGTAGGTAATTATTAAAAATAAAATAAATAATCTCAACACTCAAGTAAGATATAATTCGGAGTATTGGTATACCATGTGGTAATAAAAATAATGATTTAGGTGTCTTTGGAGCAGTTGGAGGCACAATTCTGCATAACCTATCCATCTATCCATCAGAGAGTTTATACAAATGAAAGAAAAGAAAGGAAAAATATTGAGGAAGATACATTAAAGATGCTATAATGTAAACAGATGTCACTTATTAGATGTCCACATTTGAACTCCTTTATAACATGTGAATCTTTCTGATCAGTAGAAGCTGCTAACACTTAAGGAGCCCAAAGGGCTAGAAACCCACTTTCCCATAACCCCTTAATCTAGAGTAAGGGTAATTGATCTAGATTTTCCCAGTGAAAACTACATATACAGTATTTGGAATATGGAAAGAGGGAGACAGATGTATGTGGGAAAGAAAAATTTGGTTGCAAGGGAAATCAAGGAAGGCAATGATATCTAAATTATAGTTCATCTATCCTGCATCTACAGCAAAGGCACTGAGAGTTTTGGCATCTGGGGTCCACAATACCAATACTGAGATATTCTTCAGATATAGCGGGGACATGATTTTTGTTCTCTCCCTTTCTTCTGCTTCTGCCAATTTGCCAAGTTGATTCCTTTAACCTCTCTGTCATTTCTTATTTTGTGTCAATTTCCACTTGATAAATTCATTTGTTCTTGCAACCCAGAGCCCAAGATTGAACAAAAGAGAAGCAAAAGGAAGACCAGAAGAACATACTAAGCAGGGTGATACTAGAAGCACTGTGAAAACAAGAGAACTGAGTGTTGTGGACATAAACTAAAAACAAAAACAACGACAAAAAAAAAAAACTTTCTCAAGAATAAAGTGAAAGATGGTGCTAACTACCATAATAAAAGATCTAGTGAGATGAGGAATCAGCAGGGGCATTTGGGTGTGGAAATTAAGAAATGTATAGGAAAATTTAGTGACAATAGTTTCTTTTATGTGAAACAATTATATTCAAAGAATTATTGAAAGTACATAGGAAACAAATAGCAAATCAGGAAAGAGAATGGAAGAGACACTCTAAGTAATATGGAGAAGACTCAGCATTTCATCCAGAGTGAAGTCAAATATAATAATTTTTCCCTATAGACTATTTTAAGCAAAATTTCAAAAAAAAAAAAAGAACAAAGGAAAGAAAGAACAGTTATAGAAGAAGTAGACAGAGAATTTGGTGGGTATGAAAAGTAAAAGAAGAGCTGAGCCCAGTGGCACTCACCTGTAAGCCCAGCATTTTGGGAGGCTGAGATAGGATTGCTAGTTCAAAGGCAGCCTCAGCACCTTAGCAAGGCTCTAAGCAATTTAGAGAGATCCTGTCTCAAAAGAAAAAGTAAAAAATAACTGGGGATGTAGGACATGACTAATCACCCCAGGGGAAAACAACAACAACAACAACAAAAATAGAGAGATAAAGAGGAGAAAGAATAAAAATATCAGAGACAAATGTAGAAAATTGTAGAAAGTCAAAGAAATAGAAAGGAAGTCTCCAAGAAAGGGTGAAGCAGAGATAAAGGGAAAGACTCAGAGATTTGAATGCAGATGTTTGTCTTAATCTTGGAATTCATGAAAATTTTTCAATCAAAGTAATCTCATTTTCCTCTATTCAAAATTAAGTGTTTTATTAAACTGGGTTTTGAGTACGAAAGAGATATGATTTTATTTTTTGCTTTGAAACTTTGTTATTCATAAGTATAATAGTATTTTCAAATTTAAAAGTTTCTTTATATATGCGAACAACATGAAAACTATGATTTTATAACTAACACTTTATTATATACTAATAATATTCCCAGAGTGTAGATTTTAAGTACTCTCATCATTAACAGCAATAAAAAAGTAACTCTATGAGATGATGGAATGTTAGTGTGTTTGGCTATATTAATCATTTCACTAAGTACTTACATATCAAACCATCATGTGGCAAAACTCGATTATATACAATAAAAAATTTAAGTCTTTGTTATTGCAATGACTGAAATGGACTATCTCTAAAAATCCTGCTTGTTTAACTTGAGAATACATTTTCCACATAACCATTTTTTTTAGCAGAATTACTTAAAAGTATCTGAAACTGTAAAAGACAATATAAATAACCAGTGCTAATAGTCACAGTTTAAATGCACTTTTATTTATAGTGGGATTCCCTCCAATTATTCCAAATCACTAGTTAATTGAAAATTATCAAAATCATTTTGTATCTCAGCCAAATATTTTCAGAGGGAGTGAAAAGATACAGCTAATATATAAATGATACATTAAAATGTTTAATCAGAATTATGATTTATTAAATATAAGGGCACTTTTATTAGTATTGTCAGAAATATTTATTATGTAAGTATCTTTAAACCTATTTTTAAATTGTTTAATGTTCTAGATTGCCAAATAAGGTTGTTAGATTTATATTAACAAGATAATGAAACTATCACTAAAAGGAACCAATCAGTCTTACATTAAGCACATATGCTTATCCAGATTTTAGCACAAAATTAAATATGAAGATAGTAAATTTTTTTCCATTTTCCACCTGGCATTTTTGGTATATGCAAAACTCAATCTATACTGTTGTAAATTAAACAGTATTTTACATTTCATAAAAAGAATTTTAAAAATACAGGAATCATTTCTTTCTTACCCTTATGTTCAAAGACACTGCAGAGATTCTTTCAAAGTATTAGGCTTTATGGAACAGAAAAAAATATACAATAGCATAGGTTGACCAAAACAAAAGAAGCAATTCTTACCATACTCATACATTCTGGAGGTTTAATTTCTTATTCTCAAGAAAGTGTTGGTTATATAAGGTTTATTTTGAACACAAGAGTTTGCCAGTTTTATAACCATTGCTTTCTCCAGAAGTGGAAGGAGTGGAGAGCTAAAATTCCCTTAAGAATACAAGAGGGTTCCCTGTAGGATACCATGAAGTTGTTCTACTGAGCACTGTGGCTTTAGACCTAGATGTCCAGGTTGCCCTACAGGCATCGCCAATTATGGAATCATAAAGATCAGAGCATTGTAGACAGTTATGGTTTTAAAAACAGAAATTAAGCTTTAATTCAATGTTTTTTCATACCAAGAACAATTCTAAGCTGTTTAGAGAACATCCAGTTTACATTAAAACATACCATTGTAAGCACTTTGATTGGTTTGGTTCTGTTTCAGCTCACCAACACATGATTTTAATTAGGTAAAGATCTCAGCTCCCTCCAGAAGCCAACTTCAAGTACAGTTGTCCTCCTCAGACAAACTGAAGCTTAAACACCAACTACATGCCTAGGTGCCCCCAGTTTGAACTGAATTTTGATGAGCAATCTCAGTGGGAAAATATTAGAAGTCGTAGCTCAAGAAAAGCAAAGATATGTTCCTCAGTGGAAGATGAATTTCCTAAAGATTGTGTGAAAGTGTATATTTGTTTCAGTATCCCTGTGTTAGGACTTTGGAGTCATTATTTTAATATGATGCCAGTGGACATTTGCTATCTGTAGGGCCTTCATCTTTGGAGTATCTATATGATGGGAGATTCTTGATCATTAGACAAACTAAGAATTGTAAACATGACTGGCCTGAAGGAGAAACTGGAAGGATCCATATGGGCCAGAGAAGTCAGCATTTGTCTATCAAACCTCAAAGGGTATGGAGGGCTAAGTCAGAGACTTTGTTCTCTAGCTAAAAGAAAAGCAATGGATTATGAATGATAGAGTCATGTTCAAATTTCCTTTCAGGTATAAACCAAGAAACTTGTCATGAGTTTTCATTTGGAAAATAAAAGCTAATATATATTTACATTTGATACATTTTATTTCTGTTGTAAAAGATTGGGTTGTTTGGGTTTTGTTTTTGTTAGTTTGGTTTTACAGTGCTGGAGATTGAAACCAGGGGTTCACATATGCTAGGCAAACACTCTGATTGGGCCATTTCCTTAGTACATAAAAAGGCTATTGTTAAGTATAAAGTTTAACCTCCGTGTGGCCCATGACTGAATAGATAAGAAGAAAACAAAGGGCATATATTTTGAAAGACTTATTAATCATTATATTGCTTGCTTAGAATTTGGATTGTGACTCAAAAATGTAAAGAAAATAACACTGATAAAAGATTTGTCACTGTAAAAAAATATCTAAGTATAGAATAAGCAGCCTGATATGCAGGCACA